TTGTTTCGATGTAAATTTTCCATAAAAATTTATAAACAATAATTTAACAATAATAACTGACTCTGCAGTACGATTACAGGAAAACGGAACGCCGTTCGTTTATTAAATAGTAAACGTGTGTATGGATAGGTTCATGTTATTATTATTGATTACATGATAATGCTGGGTATAACGGAATGAACAGACAAAAGTAATTAGCTGCATAATGATTATCATTTTTTTTATAATTACACGATTCTCAATAAATAGGACTTATTATAAAAATTTAACTAAAAATATTGATTATACATAATTATTATATTAACACAACAAAAGTTATTACAATAGCTGAATTACATACTATTATTTAACTCATATTTCTGTAACAATTATAATATGTTACATGATACCTAAATATATATATATGTACTACACATCTACACACTTAACATTATGTACGATGAACTGCTGACCAATACAATAATATTAACACACACTCATAACTGTAAGACCTATGGTCAATACACACCATGTATGAAGTAAGTTAGTTCACGGTGTACCTTAGACCTCAACACTCAACAAACATCGAACTCCGTATAACTACGATACAGTCAGATAGTTGGATAGAATATAATTTATATAGCTTGTGAGTATTATTATTTGTAAGTGTTTAATCTATAATAAAACTTAATGATAACTGAAACGGAATCCTAGTTATTTAAATATATTTAAGATCCTGTTATATATATATATATCTACCCCTGGCTACGGTAATTATATCTATAGAGTCCTACGACTCTCACTGGATATCTTATATTTAACTGGTCGTTCCCCCGACCACGTTACATTTCTTTTACATCTGAATGAAAACACGACGTATCGCAATATTATGAGAGGTTTCGCTGAGCTTTGTCAATACAAAAAAAAATACAAAACACAAGTAAATCGTATCCACAAGTTGTTTCAGTTAACGAAAGTAGGCATGTGCAGATCGATACGAATAAGTGTTATGAGACACATACAAATTAAATATTTTCCTCAAGCAAACCAATATTTATAACCAAATCTAAACATGTAAGCAAACGTAATGTAAAAAATAAAATAACTAATGGCCTTTGTTGCCGAAGTTGTAAACAATCAATAAAAAAAAAAAATTAAATATTATTATTTTAATTATTCGTTTACTGAATACCATCTGTAGAAATCGTTGCTACTTACATGTTGTTCTGATCCAAAAATTAAATTTGCAGGGATAGAATAATATTTTGAAGACCGTATGTAATTTTTGATTTACAAAAATGTATTGTTCGTTTTACTAATTAATGATGTTTTTTAACACTTTCTCGTGGTTTGTATATTTATAAGAATGTATATTATTTTATTACTTAAAGTGAATTTTTCAATTGATTAAAACTATTCACGGGAGAAACAATATTATATTGTGATATGTAAATAATGTACCTATCGGAATCAAAAGTGTTTTTCGTTGTCATAATATTAGGTATATTTAGTTATTGWKATTAATGACTAATGGTCGTTTTGAATTTGTTGATGGGATGTGTTGTATTTATTTTGATACTTACCTATACCGAAAGTAGGTACAAGTTGAGTTAATGTGATTTTTTTTGGCAACTGTGTCGAAATAACAGATTTTCTTTAGTGGCTTTTCTCCGAGTGACAGAATGAAATGTACTGGAAAAGCTACTTGAAAATGATTAGAACCAGAAAATGTTTTTCTTGATCGAAATAAAACAGTTTTTGGTTTATTGGTATAAATAAAGGCATAAGGTATAACAGTTCAAAGAAAAAAAAAACAGAAAAGAAAACTATTTTCAATTGGTAATGTTTCCTATCGTAGTGTAAATAGTGACGACAACGATGACAACAATGTATAGGTAGGTAATATAAATAAATAAAAACAATATTTGAAACGGTGATATAGTTATTGTTAACCTATAACGGTAGCGTGTTTGCGATAACGTAATAGGTATCGTTGAGTAATGAGTATATATATAATATATGTGTGAGTGTGTGTACTTACGTGAATTGGAAACGAAGGTATTAAATGGGTTTCTTGTAATGTATTCAACTGTCATTCTACAAATTAAACCGTTCAGCTAACGAGGTTCAGTAAATAAGTGTCGCCCCGGGGAACAGTTTACATGACTAATAAATAATCATTAGCCCAGACATTATATAGAAATCGGCAATGTAACTGAATCCGTTTGTGAAAAAAAGTCAGACGGACGTGATACGCTTTTGTGATGGGTGTGCGTGTGTGTACGGGAATAAGAGAACAACCAACGTAGACAATTCATTTATTTTTATTAATAAGAACCTATACCTGTATTATATAGTTATACATAGTTATTAGTTTTCCAGCACCAGTTAATAATCATAATATACTATGTTATAATTCGTACGACGTGGCGCGTATAGTGTTGGAATAATAATTGTTTCCAACAGTGTGTGCACTGATTTCACAGTCTTATAATAAGTTATAACGTACCTACATATTTATATGTTTCCTGTCGAAATGATTTTCTTATAAATCCGTGAATCTCCGTGTCTGTACCTATAACTTGTTCTATAAGGTTCTACAAGTATAGTATGTTTATACGAATTTTAAACTTTTTAAATTACCGAAATTAAATTATGATATTTAATAACCGCCTAGGTTATTACCTACCTACATATTTTTAATAGAGTAATGTCCATTTGCCGTTTTTTATTGTCCAAGAATTCGAGAAATTTGGCTCTCTTTGACTTGACGATAGTTAATGTCAATTACCTTGGTACTTAGTATATAGGTRTAGTTTGAAGATTTGTTTAATGTATAAAATATTAAAGTGACTGCAGCTGCTATAATTATAACTGGATTTTGGCCGAAACACTTGTTAGAAACCATCACAATAACTTCTATCAGTGCAAGACTATAATGCTAATAACTAAAAACAAATAGTAAACTTTCTAAAATTAAGAAAAACGTTCCACCTCTGTCACTGGTATAAATTATCTACTAAAGAATATTCTGAAAACTAATAAATTTTAAACGGGCTTTCTTCGATATTATCGTTAACATAATGTGGTGAAATACCATTTGATTTATTTATTAAAATTACCATAGCTTAAACGGAGAAGATTAGTAAATTTTTTAAATTATAAGTTATTCTTAATGGCAGGTAATAAATTKTTGTCTATATATTCTTAATATACGACCATATATGATAATACCTATCTGCAACTACAAACCTCAATAAGTCATAACTTAGTGATTTTTATTGAACAATTAAAATGTAAATTTAACGGAGCCGTTACCGATATACATCAATGGCTTCTGAAAGAAAACCAGTTTGAACAAGTTGTCATGGCTTTAATAATATGTGGTACTTACGGTTTATGAAGTGGTGAGTGCTTTTAATGTGAGTTATTATACTAATTTATTTTTATAAATGGTACGGAGAAAAGGACAATAAGAAGATTTTAGCAAGTAGCCAGTATACTTACATTTTTTGTTCAGTTGCATTATGCACAGAATGATACAATAATAAAATGGAACTATAGTTTTTCTTTAACTTTTAACTGGCCAAGCAAAAAAGATTGTGGTGAAAAAAGCAGATGAATGAATCAGACGTTTGTAAATCATGACTACCGTTTTGCAACGAAACGAAATCTTTTTTTATTATTCAACTCAGTTTAACCCTCCTTTTCATTTATACGAAAAACAAATTGTTTCTCTCCATTGTAAAACTAGATAAATTTAAAAAAAAGGTAATGCAAGTTGAATCCTCCATCGTAAATTTATTACATTTCTTTGTGCGTACTCTGCGAAGACCTTAATTTGTTTTCAATTTAATCCATTGAAACGTAAAGATCGAAAATATCCACCCTAGATACATAATATTGATAGTTGTTAAATATTTATACAAACTATGACGCGTAAATAATTATTTTTGAACTTAATTTACTTAATAGGTTAAACTGCTAAATAAACCGTAAACATTAAAATGCAAATAAATTCACTACTGCCGCAACAGGGTTTATTCTGTAAGCTTTTCSGTGATTAAGGMACGTTAAATAAATACGTTTTAGATTAAATTTTCATTGAAAAAGRCAMATATTATATAAATAATTAAAATTTCACGGCCAAAAATTTTCAGTTTCAAATTAAAATGTACAACTGCTTTTAGACCTTGAAGCAACATTTTGGTTAGGTTATCTGGTATAAATCTTTGTAGCACTATTGGTACACAATAATATCACACTATCATTAGGAAAACTTATTTATATTATTTAAATTCCATAGAAAGTATATTAAATATATAACATTGTATCATAATCGATATATTAGTATTGCTTCGAACATAAATTATTTAGAAAAATATTAATACTCATATAGCAAAGATATATCCTTTAYTATGATAATATATTATATTATTATAATATAACATATCTATGAAGTATTTATAACTCCAAAGGCAGAAGAAAATCAGTAAGGCAATCGACTTTCGACTTGAGGATTTCTCACCGGAAATAATTCACATAATAATAGTTCGTGTAGACGATATTGTTCCTTTTGTTGTATGAGTAAAATATTTTCTTATACAAAGTCATACAAGTGATCTATGCATTTTGTTATTGAGAATATAGGTAAATTATGTAACTATGAAAGCTGGAGTCACAGTTATTATACTGAACATCTCTCTTGTTGTATATGCTTCAGCTAGTCCTATTGCACTTTTGATAATTTAATACACAAAAAYACGGCTCAGGAAATCAGGAACAAAACTTAAAACTTAAAAGCACTGTTTTTGGTGAAATAAATAACTGTGTATAACTACGTAGACTCAACGTATAGTTGTACGTATAGTACTCAACTATTATGATTTTCAAGTTAATATAATTATATATCTGTTGTTAGTTATGCGTTTTAAATCCAWAATATTATAAATAATAATACTATTATAAAATCTATATCGCTTTACCAATTTTGTCTTATATCGTATTAATAAATGTTACAGTACTGCATGGACTCAGACACGTCGGATAAAACGCTGTTTCCGACGTTCGCCCGCACACGTCCGCCGGACACTCAGATATCCAAATCCGTTGCCGCAGTCCTGAAAGCATTTAACTGGACTCAGGTGAGTCGATAACCCAACCCGGCCAACTCCTTGGACCAAAAGCACACATACACACAAATCAACTTGAAAACCATTTGATATCCGTAAGCTGGGATCCKGTCGACGTTCTCTCTTACAGTTCTGTGTTCAAGACGTCTTTTCCGTATTTTTCTTTATTTYCACTTTTCAATTATTCCTCTCTTACATTCTAACACGACGACGTCACGTCCGATCTTAGTTCATGGTTATTGCTATCCCCCCATCTCTCACCGTTTTTCTACTTTTCATTATTATGCTACTCTCGTGTGTATACAGGGTGATTATTTTATTGCGAAATACTCAATATTATTTAAGCTGACTTCGTCTCTCGCTTATTAGTAGTTACCGTTTTTTATGTTACAATTAATATATTAAAGAGTGTAGTATAGAATATGCACAGTATTTTTATTTTTTAACATACCCTCACTTGTGTTTTCTACCACATCAACCATTGCCTAGTCCTAACATTACGTAGTATGGCAATCATTGTGATTTAAAATTGTGGTTAGTTTAAGTTATAAGGAATATAGTGGGTTCTGTGATAAAATAGTCACTCTGTATATGTATATATTTAAGTACAACACTGGTGTTGCAATATGCCACGTTGTGGTTTGCTTAAAACGACCCCGAAAAAGGGGAAAATATATACATAAAGACACCGTAAATACGCACTCATCACTCGTTTATTGTTTCCATATATATATATATATATATACATTATACATTGTATATTGTATTTTGCTATATTATATACATTACTACTATAGGCGTTGAGACGTGCGATAAATCATAAATTAAAAGCGAACTAGCCAGTAGCTGGCGTTAGATGTGGTTTCTTTTCCGTTTTGGATGGCTTAGAAAATACAACTACTATATTATATTCCATACTATTATCGCCAGATGGAAAATTTTAATTAAAAGCATATAATTGTATTATTATATTCGCTGCATTGTGTGACTGTTTCTTTACTGTTTTTGGTGTCACTTTGTATTGTATATGATTTTTGTAGACCTCTYGCAATGTTTTGTGACTTGTAATTTGTATCCCTGTATATTATTTTAATATGATAGACAGAATTATTAAAACTTCGATAAATCAAAACTCTGTAGATTGAGGAATTATTTACACGTAAACAAAATAATATTATATTGTTATGAATTATTATCACTCATCCTATAGGATTATATAGCATAATGTAAATAATAGTTAATAAAGGTTTAGATTTTTATTTTCGGTAAATCAAATTAAATTTTTGAATACATAATGTTGATTTGTAATTTCTGACAAAATCGCCGATTTGAAGATACTATGAGTTTGTTTTAAATCTGTTAATGTGAATATTTTTATTCAAGTTGTTGGTTAAATTTTATTTACGGATTTATATAATTATCAAGTGAAATATTTTCTTTGGTATAATTGCAATGTGAATCATTTCAAATCGCATAATATAATATTTATGATTTTACATTACTCTCAACACGTAATGTTTTATACGTGATAAAGTAGAAATTCTTGAAAACTTAAAGTTATATCTTAAGTTTACATCTAACTGGATAATACATTTAAATTGCGTGCTAAAACTCAAACAAAATCACCTACGTACTATTTCAATTTAACAATTAATAACAACATAACACAATAGTTACGAAGAGAGCATTTTTTCTGCATTTCAGTAATATTAGTAGGAATTATAGAACTTATAAATAATATATATATAATGAAAGATTGTATAAAATATATAAAATATTGATCTATGATTGATAAATATGGATGATATTATTTTTGTACAATATAATTGAATAACTCTATTTTAATATAGGCATGGATGATTAAAATAGTAATTTTCATGGTTAAAATATATAAGGTTATTGCACCTAACCCTCTCTCAATCAAAAATTTGATGATAAAAACAAAAATGGTAGCTTAAATGGAGCCAATAATAATCAAGTATATATAGTATATATGCGCGGGAAATTTTATGCCAGCCGCTGACAGCTTGCGAATGTTTCATGATAGGTAAGAAAAATTGATATATTTTGTTATTTGTGATATCCCTTTACGCAGCCATTTTGAATCTGATGATGACAATTCTTGTCGATATGAAATAACCTTGTATATTTCAACCRCGTGTAATAAATAAATTTACCATCAAAAAAAATAATAAAAAATGTACATTTTATRTATTATGAACTGCATTAATTCAATATTTTCTTTCTGTAGCTCAATAGAATAAGTTAAAATATAAAGGTCTTTAGTGATAATTTAACAAAAAATAACTATAAATTAGAGATGAACAGATTTATGGTAACATTGTTTACATACCAATATATCGCGAAAACCATATTTACTATAATGCCAACACATTTTAACAAAAATATTAAACAAAAATAGCCAGTATTCTATTATTATTTTAAATTTGAATGCAATGGCCAAATAATAAATCATTTCATATAAAATACGAGCCATTCTAGCTGAATCTGGGTGAGCCCATGGTATGGATTTTAATAAAAATGGGTTCATTGTGAATTTCACTTTTCACTTTTTTTTAAATACTTTTTCAATTGCATTTTTAAAATATCAGAAAAATTCCAAAACTTCCATGTTATATTTATAATTGTTCATAAATTATCATAATATGTAATCATAGTGGTAGCTAACTATAATATAATGTTTTAAAYATTTATCTGATGCTACACAAAAAAACCAGAATTCTTTTTATCAAAGTTATTTATTATATATACTTACTAAAAGTATGCAAAATGCTTATGTAACATTTTATATAGTTTTAATGAGTGAATTGAAACAAGTGATTTTTTCTTTTAATCATTATATTACAAGTTTTTCAATTATGAAAACAGGTTACCCAATGACAGACTCGTATTTTAATGTTTGAACCTGTTTGATATTTTAAACTGTTCTTAATTAAAACTATTATAGTTATTATACATTAATAAAAACTTCAAATAGTCTATGGATACTTATGTTTTATGCATATAAAATATTAATTTATGACGTTATAAAAATAAATYATGATTTTTAGTTTTTAAAAATACTGAATGTAATTTACTCTATTTTAAGTTTTGACCTATCTTGTTGCAATTTAAAAATTTAATCCGTGGGTAAATTACTATAGTTATACAATATTATTATATTATATTATTTATTCATCTTTTAATTATGAGAATTTTTATCGTTGTTTCTCATGCTAAATGCGATAGTCATTGAATGTGTAATGTCTCGTATATATTATAATATAATACTGCGTTAAAATATTGTTCAAACAAATTAATCTATAATATTGTTATTTTTGTTTGTTTCATAACATTTTTCCCGTAAGTATTGGGCTAATATTATTTCAAAATTTATCCTCTAACAATACATCATCTTATTTTAATTATTTTTTTGCTTGTTATTGAATCTTAATGCTACGATGTGAGTGATTATATAAATATTTTAATGATATGTAACTACTATACCTATATAGTCTTATTACAATCATTTAACGTAATGAATAATATATTTGAACAGGTGACGTTTTTTTATTCGAACGCAGATGACACTCATTTCGGTAAGATCGCGTCTACCATATCAGAAGTGTTTTCAAAATCTGGTATAGAGATCACAACCAAAAAAACGTGGAGCACCCATTATTTGCACGGATACACAGCCAATCCATTCGTTAAACTTGTCGCCGACACGTATCAAGACACAAGAAGTGAGTAATCCCTTCGTATTTTATTCTTTTCTCAGAAACAATTTTTAATTATGTATATTGTATAGAATAAGATATATATTTTAACTTTAAAATAAATAAGTTGTACCCTGCAAAACCAAAGATAACTAATCCACGTGTCCCAAACAAACGCAATAACCCGGATTTATTGATTCTGAAAAACATTACATTTCAAATATATTGGTATATATATATATATTTTATTATATTAAGAGATTTATACGWYAGTCATTATTCAAAAAACTATTAAAGTTTTAAGAGTATTTSCCATTAATAAATTATAAAAAATTATTTAACATATAGGTAGTTATAAAATCTATTATTGCGTATAAGTGTATATTTTTAGTAAGTCACGAATAAAAAAGAAACATATTTTTTACGGATTATATATTCTTAGGCGTAAAGTTGTATTCCACCCACGTTTATGTTAATCGCGTTATTATAATGGTATACCGCTGTAACTATGTAGCAGTGATTTTGACGAAAAATTGCCTTCAAAGTCATTCGAATACATTTTAAAAGCATCTGAGTGCATAACATTATGAAAGTTAACAATAACGTAACGTAATCGGGTGTACCAAGTAATTAACATTTTACAAGCCATTATCCAGGGGTTGTTGCTTCGTACTGTTATAAGGGAATGTATATAATATTATAATTATTCATTCTTTTCAAACGCTAAACTCAATATGAATGGCATAGCCTTTATGTGTGTATTGGCGCGCGCGTGTGTGCTTGTGTTTATTTGCGCTGTATAATTTGCTCTATCTTTAAAAAGATAAAAAATAAAACACCAACACCAACAACCGAAATAAATATTATGTTGAACTTATGTTGTATAGACAATGTTTTTAACGATTGAAAAAGTTTTTTTCTATACACGGCTATATTTTTTCTAACCTGGGTAATTTAAACTTTTAAACAGTTTTATTTGTAACAGCTATAATAACTGTAACTTTGGTACGTAAGTATCTATTAAAAAATAAAAATAAAACTATACGTTAAGATTACGAAATATATAAATTTTATTATACTATTTGAAGTATCAATTTTTTCATCTTCATTTGCTTTACACATTTTTACATGCGAATATTGTAAATAATGGATACTATTGCTTAAATCATAAAATAGGTATATAAATTTCACGATCTATAGAAAATTAAAATAATAAAAAAAAAACAGTGGAATTCTTAAGGTAACATTTTAATGTTTTGTGTTTTCTTTGTTTTCTACGTCGTGTTTAACAGCTTTTATAAAAATTAATAGCTGGTATATTTTTTTACTCATATATTTTTCTTATTGAGATTTAAAAAAAAAACAGATTATATATTAGAATACAAGTAATATCGTTTGTTGTTCAAACGTATAAATACCTATATTTAACAGCACAAAATGAATATTATTTTAACTAGCTAATGATTAGAACAGTTTTACGGAATACTAAGTTAGCAATATTATTAATTAGTGTCGGCAGTTTACCAGATATCTATTTACTATTATACCAAAAATTGTTAGTTAGTATTTTTCTTGTATAAGTTTTTAAATTATTTTTTTAGTTTTGTGTGGATAAAATTAACATATTTTTTAACGTGACAGTATGTTCTATGTAAAAAGTTTTATTTAAATTATTTATCATCAAGATCGTTTATTTGATTTACATAATAAAATGTATTATCATAATAATTATGCATA